GTCCACGGCGCGCCTTCGAGGGCATTCGCCTGCGCTTCGAGAAGCAGCCGTCGGAGGAGGAGGAGTGGGCCGTACCCGCCAGCCCGCCCAGCCCAGAGGCCGGCGCCATCCGCTGCGCCTCGTTCTGCGCTGGCTTCCCTGTCCCTGAGTCGCCCGCCGCCACCGCCTACGCCCACGCTGAGCACGCGCAGTCCTGGCCGTCCATCAACGTGAGTGGGCACGTGCGCACTGGCTTGAGCCACAGGGAGCCCCGCCCTCCGCTTCACGCCTGATTGGTGGGCGAGGCTCCTTTCCTTTGAAGCCACCTTCCCCGGGTCGCAGCATCTCACTCCCTCGGCCTTTTGTTGGCGTGAATTGGGGTCCTGCACCATTAAAACTTGTTCAGTTCCCCAGTGAAAGGCACTGTCTTCAGAGTGGCAGTCCTGGCTTTGATTCTGGACTCCACCAGTTAATATCTGTGGGACCGTGGACAAGTTACTTATCTTTTGTGACCCTCAGTTTTCTCATCTGCAAAATGAGGGCGATGGTTTATTATCTCATTCCATTAGAGAGTTCTTGGGAGGGAGGCAGTGAGGCCAAAGCACTCTGCACAGTGCCTGGCTCAGTATTAAACTTACAATGTTACTTGCTAATGGAAGCCATGCCTGCTCATCCAGTTGGCCCCATCAGGCCTCAGAGCCCCTGCTCTTTTTTGTCTGTCCTAGAAAACAACCCTATCTCAGGGCTGTATCATTTCACTGAAATAATGAGTTTCCTGAATGTCAGAGCCAACCCTTGCCACCTGGAAGGACCAAAATATTTTCCAAAACCAGACAAGCTGTACATTGTTTGGGATTATCCATTTCTTTGCATTATCTGGGAGCTGTGTTTTAGTCATGCAGAGAGCATGTCTGGGTCTTGGCTTCTCTCATTACCGCAGATGCCCTGGCAGGTTGAGCAGACCCACCTCCCCATTAACACCTCCTGGGGACCCTATGCCCAGGGCCAGGGGAATGGAAGCTGAACTGGTAGAAGGAGGGCAGGGAAGGGGAGGAACAGGTGGTGCAGGAGAAAGGGGGGCCCAGACCTCTTCTGCATGCTCTATCTCTCCCTGCCTTGGGTCCCCGAAAAGGACAGGCTGGGATGTGGGGACTATGTGGGAGGGTTGTGGACCATAAATGACTTCCTTCTCTCCCCACAGCTGCTGATGGAGACAGTGGGCTCTGATATCCGCAGCTGCCCCCTCTGCCAGCTGGGTTTCCCTGTTGGGTATCCAGATGATGCCCTCATCAAACACATTGACTCCCACCTGGAGAACAGCAAGATCTAGGGTGCCTCCCCCACCCACTGGCTGTTTCTCCACCTTCTCCCATCACCCCCAAACACTCACTCACTTTGAATGCTGCATGACTCTCGTGGGGGGCCTCTGCCCCTTGCAACCCCCAGATACCTCCACTAGCTACCAAGTCAACGTGTGTGCCGTCTTCCCTAGTCCAGGCACCACTCAGCCCTGGCTCTTCCTGGGAAGTCAGCTGAGGCTCTCCCCAGCTTCTGGGCTTCTGCTGTGGAGGTGGGGATCAGGGCTGGGATGGGAAGGGGCATATCACCCCACCCAGCCTCTCCCTCTGCCTTTCTGTTCTCAAGCAGGTGGATCCCAGAAGGTGTCTAGTGCTTGGGCCTGGGGGAGGCGGAGGGTATCAGAAGACTCCAGGAACTTCCTCAGCCCCTCCCCAGATGTCCATCTTTCTCAGGCTGTGCTCTGTCCAGGGAGCACCTCCCTGTGGGGTCCCAGAGCATGCCCTGCACATTGATGCCAGTTCCTCCATCTCATGGCTAGGTCAGGGCTCGTGGCATGGGTCCCCACTGGGGGAAGGAGGCATCTTGATTCTTGCCATTCCCTTCAGGCCAACCCTTTTTCTCCCCCTCTGTCCACCCTGGGGAATAGGGAGGGTGGGAGAGGAGAGGGAGGACCCTGGAGGGCTGGGAGCATCCAGCCTAAAGAGGCTGCCCTGAGGCCCCATGACCCTCATGCCAGGTAACAATCTGTGCCAGCCTCCTGGGCCCATGCCCTCCTCCTGGAGCCCCTAGCTCCAAGGCACAGATCACTAAGGCAGATGCTCTCCTCCACCCTGACTCCACTCAAGCCCCGACACCACAGGTGCCCTGGAGCCCGTGTGTGACTCAGCCTCTGTTAGCTGGGTGGGTGTCATCAGCCCTGCCTCCCAGGCCAGAACCTGAGGATGGGCCCCGGGTGCTGTGGAGACCAACTTCAAAAGAGCTAACCCCCTTCCCACGCCCAGCGACCCACATTCCCTCTGTGAAATCTACCTCAGAGTTGTACCCTCAGAAGGACGGGTAAGCAGGAGGCCAGGGGGTCCCCAGGGCTGAGGTGGGGAGCTTCCTATGGCAGGAGCCTGCCGCCCCACAATGAATCCAACCCCCTCCACTGTGAGCCTCTCCCGGGCCTCTGCCTAGGCGTGGGGAGGCAGTGGACGCTACTGTCAGTGCATGTACCATTCTGATCCAACTCTTCCAGGTCCCCCACCTCTTCACACCTCTCCCCTCCTCCTCAGTGCAGGGGAGTGAGGGGTGTGTTGGGCGGGGAAGGGGCCAAAGACTCCAGAGACACATGGCATTGTACCTTGAGTGTTCCCCAGGGAGGGGAAATGGGGAAGGGGAACTGGAGAGGGGAGGTGGGGCTCCTGAGCTCTCTGAACAAGTTGACAGTCCAAATAAAACTTACCTGTTCCATCTGCGCTCGGTCTGTGCCCTCTGTGGCTGGGATGGAGAGAGAACCCTTGTAGCACGAGGTCTTAGAAACTGTCTGAGGAACCACAACTGTGGGAGAGTGGCCACTGGGCAAATAGGTGATGCATGGGGCAGCCACGTGCTGAGGAGATTCTGGAGAAGTGGGCGTTCAAGTGGCTACAGGTGACCTGTGACGTGAATTTATTTGGAACAGATAGGGAGCAGGACAAAGCGTTTTCAAGACCAGCCCTGAGCAGATGTCAGGAACTCATGAATTTTCCCTTCCAACAGGTCTGGCACCCTGAGAATTCATTGATCAGTACCACTGTTTTTTCATCAAATGATTTCTTGTGCCAGGAACCAGGTTGGGGCCTCAAAGAGGTAGAACATCTGGGTTCCATGTTCTTATGGGTCAGAGAGCAGAGGGTGGGGACTGGGCTCCAGGCTCAGCAGATGCCTTGTAAAGTCCCACAGCCTGGAAGGTCAGAGTCAGGTCATGAACCCATGACTTCTGCCCCAGCTGGGGCTGTGCCCTCTGTCAGCAGAAAGGGCCTGAGCTACTTACTCATCAATTGTGAGTGCCTTTTATTTCCACCCAACTCTTTTGGCCAGAGATTCACTGAAAAACAAAAAGCAGGGGCAATTGCTTATTGAAGGCCAGAGGTTCAGCTCCAGACCCAGGGTGAACATCCTTCCTCGTTCAGTGCCAAGGTCTAGACCCCCATGGGGAGACTTCCCAGCATCCCCTGCTCCTCTGTTGCAGTTGACAACTATGGCTGACCTCTAAAGGTTTACCCAACCTTGATTTCATCTGCAGGCAAGTCCTAAGTGCCAGGAAGGGTGAGAACAGCCATCTCTGTGGGACATGGCCTCTCACAAGCCCTGGGAAAGAAGGTTCTGGAACCTTTGGCACATGGGTTTCCCTGGTTCTCCTCTACCTCAGTCAACTCCCACAGAGGAAGGCAGCACCCAGGTTTCTGGGTCTGGGTCTTGTTTGGCTCTCTGGAAACCCTTGCTAGAAAGGCATGAGTAAACTAGGGGTGGTACTGGGACACAGGCAAAGAGAAATCCTAGCCGTTGAGGAAAAGGGCAAAGGATGACCTGGAAATGAGGTACAAGTGGGGGGCATGACCTGGGGAACCAGGTCTGGCCCTTGAGCTCATCTGAAGAGGGGAGGGAACCCAGGTATCTCGCCACCTGGACATTCCCCCTGTCACCCAGGTGAGGGGAGCATGGCGACACAGAGTGCAGCTTGTCTTCTTGATTTCTGGGGAACCGGGAAGGGGCTCAGAGGCAGGGAGGGAAGCGGGAGAAGGTGAAAATTAGCTGGTCTTTTACTTAATGCCTTTAACTTAATGCCCCCGCAAAGAAGATGACATTGAGGGTGAGGAAGCTGGAAGAGGGGCTGGGGGCCCTGCCAACACTCACTCTTTTCCAAACCAGGGCTGTGGTCAGAAGAAGGACACTGGCTGCTCATTACTCTGTGGGAGTAATTCGGCAGCAAAGGGCCTGAAAGAGTGTGGGGCAAGGGGGTCTGGATCTCTGGGTTCCTGGAAAAGTGAGGGGGTTGACACAACTTGCATGGGAGCAAAGTGGCAGGAAGATCTTGTTGAGGCTGGAGGAGACACACCTGGGAGCCACTCACACCAGCACAGACCCAGAGCGGAAGGTGACCGGGGTCGGGGAGGATTCACAGGTGCCAAGGCATCCATGGACTTATCTCCAAGTGCCCAACGAAAGTCCAACACCCAGCATCCGGGCTCGGGCCCCACTGCCCTCAGTCTCTCCGTCAACCACCAGCGGGCCCTCAGGCCTCCCTGCCTCATCTCTGGGGACCCAGTAGCCCTGGCCCACTCCCCCCAGGATTTCTGCAGAGCTACCAGGCCATGGCAACCTCTGCCCCTCTGGTCCCTGTAGAGGCTGTGCCAGGGATCAGCTGAGGAGAGCAACAGCTCCTTTGAGAAGCTGCTGGTGGGGGGAGGGTGTGGGCAGCTGATCTCGCACAGAAGGGAGGGGTGTGTGGGTGAGTCAGCCGTGTTAATGAGAAACACCACACCCGCTGATTAGGACTAATGAAGAAGAGCAGAAAGGGTGAGAGTTTCAGTCAGGGATATCTTTGTAGGGTAGAGGGGTGCAGAACAGCTGCCCCAGTCCCATTTCTCCTTTAGTAAGGACAAGAATGGAGCAACTTTGGCTACTGCAGGCAGAATGGAGGTTAGACACAAGGATGAACCATCCAGAGCAAGGGGGTTCTAACTGGGAAGGGGTAGAAACAGGCATCTGAGCAGATACCACACATGGGGGGAACCCGTGTGAGATTCTGTAGTCCCGCCTCTATTCCTGCCCTGCCCCTAATTTCTCTGTGTTGACCCCAGAGAAATTCTTGGCACTCAGAGCTGTGCTCCTTGCCCCCCACCCCCTCCTCCCCCCTCTACTACTACGTACTACGTACGTACGTACGTACGTACGTACGTACGGTACGTACGGTACGGTACGGTACGGTACGGTACGGTAGGT